TGGGGCTAGAATGTTTATTCTGTTTCCCATTTAAAGTCAGTTAACTGGGAAAGGACACCCTGAGGGAAGCCCCAAATGGAACCAGTGAGTCCCACAGATTTACTGCATGTGAGGGAGAGAAGCCTTACTTCTCCACTGCCCAGCGTCACAGACCACTGCCAGCCCCCGACAAAAGCATCTCTGTCAAGTCCGTGACCCCAAGGAAATCAGCGAGGCGATCTGCTCTTCCACGCCTCCTCTAACGCAGCCTGTCCCAGCAGGGACCCCGGCAGAGCTCCTGTCACTGTTGCTCATTGCCTCACACACCTCAGCTGCCTGGGGAGCAGAATGTGCAGCCAGGAACGGCAGGAGTGGGAGGAAAGAAAGCAACAGCCAGGACGAAGTCAGGGGTAGGGAATCGGGCCCTGGAGGAAGACAAGGGAGCTCTGAAGAGTGTGTGCGCCGGCATGGCCAGGAGAAAACGGGGGCAGGTGAGGGGTGGGGGGCTGAGGGGCCGAGAACAGGAAGGAGCCACAAGCTGGAAGCTCTAGGGGATGGATGGTGACAGTGACAGGGGTATGAGGATGACAGCCACCGTGAGGATAACAGGAGTGGGATGCAGGTGCAGGACCTGAGAGCCACCCAGAAACAGGGGAAGAAAAGGCGCAGGGCTGGCTGGAGGCCCAGCAATGCCGGGCCAGGTCCCAAAGGAAACAGCGCAGCACTCAGGTCAGCCTGCAACAGACCTGCCGCCACGAGGGGGCGCTCGCGGAGGGAGCCGTCGGGTCCTTGGGGAGTCATCCGCTGGGGTCACTCACTGCGCGGTTCTTGGCCCCCGACCTCGAGGAGGCACAGGTCCTCGGAGCCCTCTATCTTGCTAATCAAATGAGTATGTGGTCCTTGAAATATTAAAAGACATTTCAAAGGAGCCGAAAGTTGACACCCTAACTTAATTATCAAGATCGCAGTTTTGATTTCAAAAGGGCAGAGGTGCATTTCAAGCCGCCACCAAGTACACACAGGAAAGGCAACGCCTTACCACGTAAATGCTAAGCTATGCTCCCATTCCCAGGACCTGCAGGCCACGAGCTCTCACATCCTCTGACTTCTGAACAGCTGAATCACATCTTAGAATATTAAATGCTTTCAAATGTCACTTTATGGCAAGTACCACTTGGTAGGTTCTAAATGACTCTCAAAGGGCATATTTTCTGTATTTGTCCTCACGGTGAACCATCTCTCAATTCACCACTTCTAATTGTGGTGCCATTTTTGAAGTTAATTACTCAGATGGCAAGCGCAAGGATGAAGGCAGGAGGGTTTGGGAAGATGACATATGCAAATACACACAGTGGAGAGCTATTGTGTTTTGGCAAATAGATGCCCGAGTGTCAGCTCTGTGAAGGATGTACACTTTAAAAGCAAATCTCTTTATCGTCTAAGTCCCTGTGGAGATACCTCTACAAGTCACTCACACGTCCAAAGGAAGTACGTGAGTCTCCTCAAGCCTCTGGCACACCTCTGCATTAGGGCTCCCTCCCAAGAATGCGAATTAGACTGCGGTACAACACGCTGTCATGGTGTGAAGACTTCTTGGTCTAAAGATCAGAAATCAGGCAGTGATGACGTGAGGCAGTGGTTATCACACTTTTAAGCAGTGAAACTCTTTCTTGGAAAGAAACCCCATAATAAAATATAAATATTATTTGTATTTGTGTAGACTTATCCCTCAATTGAAAACACTATTATTTGGTGGACATACAAATTTTGAGACTATAATTAAGGCTGGTAAAAGTAGTCTTAATCCCCACATTATTGATGCTCTATGCTCTGCTCACACAGTTTTGAGGATACTCCGAGTCACAGAGAGAGGGATACATGAGGGGCGTGCGGTTCAAAGCGCACCATGCAACCCTTGGGTACCACTCTGTTACATGAGATGCCACCAGTTCCGTTGTAGGACCCCAGCAAAACCAGTCTGCCTGGCAGAAACACTGCAATGTCGGTCACCTATTACAATTTGGTATTCAGCAGCAATCTGCATTTCTGCAAATTACATGTAATAGTATTTTTTAAAAATAAACACTGCATCAAATATTTATAGAATGAGACTCTTGGGAATGGAAGACTAGCCCAGTCCAGACCAACTCTTTATAGATAACTATAAACTGAGTAAAATACACTGCACAACTACTGAAGGCATCGGAGAGAAAGAAAAATCAGAAAGATATTAAAGGAGAATGATGCTTGGAAGGAAAAGCCTTTGGGTGCATTTCTTGTTTTTTAATGGCTTTTTTGCCAGAAGCCAGGCTCTGTCCTGCCATGCAGGGCAGCTGAACTTAAACAGAAAACCCATCACCTTGCTGGCGTACCCCACCCACAGCCTTACTGGCTGAAGAACTGACAGGACCAAGTGTAGAGTGACTTGGGTAGCAAGTGAGGGGAGAATCCCAGAAGCAAGAGCCAGAGAGGGGGATCCAAAAATTCTGTGTAAAACTGCTCCAACCTCTGGTTGATCCTATAACCAGACATGAACAAGGACAACTCAAAGTGGCCTGGTTAATAACTCAAGAGATTTCTGTACCTGTTCATTGTGCAGGATGAGGGAGGGGAGGATGGGAGGGCAGAACTAGGTCAAGTCCAGCCATGTTGGCTGCCTCCCTTTAAAAAAAAAATCAGTATTTTTCCAAGGAATATAACAGAATTCAGAATCTCTAAAATATATGATGCATAAAGTTTATGATATAATCCAAAAGTACTAGGAATGTGCTCAAGAGCAAAGGCAATCAAGAGATTAATCCTGAAAAGATCCAGATGTCTGAATCAGCAGGCAAGGGTTTTTAAAGAGTGAATGTAATTATGTTCCAAGAATAAAGGAAAATAGGCTTGTAATAAATGAACAAGTAGGAAATCTAAGCAGAGAAACAAAACTATACAAGAACCAATAGAAAATTCCAAAGTGGAAAAGACAATGTCTGAATAAAAGATTTACTAAATGGGCTTAGGAGCAAATTGTAGGTGACAGAATAAAGAGTCATTGAGCTCGAAGGTAGATCAATAAAAATCACCCAGCCTGCAGAACGGAGAGAAAAAGCAATTTTAAGTTGAAAGACCTTCAAAGAATGGTGGGTCAACTTCAGAAGGTCAAATATATGTGTCATAAGAATATTAAGAAGGAGAGGACAGAAAGGGACAAAAAATACGTTTGAAAAAATAATGCCCAAGTATTTCCCCATATCGTGAAAGGCATAAATTTACACAGTCAAGCTCAGTGAACCCCAAGCAGGATAAATACAAAGAAAGTACATCTAAGAATGTGAAGCGACATTGCTGGTACGCGTGAAATATTGCAGTCACTTTGCAAAATCTCTGGCAGGTTCTCTTTTAGGTTCTTATGAACCTAAAAAAAATAGCCCTGGCTTGTGGGTCTCAGTGGATTGAGTGCCGGCCTGCAAACGGAAATGTTGCTGGTTCGATCCCCAGTCAGGGCACATACCTGGGTTGCAGGCCCGGTCCCCAGTTGGGGGTGTGTGAGAGGCAACTGGTTGATGTTTCTCTCCTCTTTCTCCTTCCCTCCCCCTTTTTCTAAAAATAAATAAATAAAATGTTTTAAAAAACCACCTAACTAAAAATATATCTACCCACGACACAGCGGTTTCATTCCTATATATATCCAAGATAGGATGAACACAAATGTCCAAAAATTACCTGTATAGGTTTAATCTAAGAGAACAGATGAACTCACTGTGGTATATACTACAGTGGAACACTAGTCAGTGATAACAAGGAGTAAACAATACATGCAATGATATATGAATGAATTTTAAGAACTATGTCAAAAAAAGCCAGATGCAAAAGGATACATACTGTTTTACTGCATATACATCAAGCTGAAGAACAGGCTAAACTAATCTCTAGGGAAAAAAATCCCAACAGTAGTTGTTCCAGGGACCAGTACAGGGGAGAACGGACTTGGGCAGGGCGGAGGGAACGTCCTGAGGCTGTGGAAATGCTCTTCCTTAATGGCATCTGTGTTACGAATGTTGCCTTGTTAAAACTCCGCTTAATGGTATACTTAAGATGTGTGTATTTCACTCTAAGTATCTTTTACCTTAAAAAATATTAAGTACAAATAGTAAATTCTAGTCCGTGATATGAATACTGAAGGGTTCAGGGGTGAAGAGGCTGGAGTTTACTCTGAAATGCAGAAAATACGGTAAATGCTAGGTGGCTAGATGGACAGACGCAGATATATGGGCATTTACTGAACAATTTTCTTGTAGGTTTAAATTTTTCCATAATAAAATGCTGGAGAAGAGGCACATTTACCTAACACTTGAAGGTCTACTGTGAAACAAGGGGTCACAGTTGAAAAGTGAAGAATTAAGAGCCAAGCCTTGAGACCCACGCAATGCAAGCAGGGGCCAGTTTCCCGGCCTTAACACCAGGAAGCAAGGGCTGAGCACTGAGATCCTTTCCAAACATAACCCCAGTGGCTGCCTAAGGCACCAGGCTGTCCACACCATCAGATGATCCAAAGGGTGCAGATACGGAGACTCTCCGTACATCTGCAGCTGCAGCTGCGGTGACAGCTGCTGGGTCAAAAAGGTCCCTCCCTCCCATGCGCTGGGGACTGAAGACTTCCACCGCCTCGGTCTCCCGTCTCACGACACTTCCTCCTCCTCACACCTTCCATGTCACCGATCCTCTGGTTCCATTATCACCCACATTGTCCTTTTCACATCAGGGAAAGTAAATGCTGTCCCTGCCATCAAGAAACTCCTTTTCCTGCCCTTGGCCCTTCGTTAACTTCTGTTCATTCTTAGATCTCAGCTGCCCTTGGCCCACAGGCTACCCTGGGCCTGTCCCCTGCCCCCGACTGAAGCACTTGTCAGGTCACCTCAATCGGAGGGCAGAGGAGGGCAGAACCGGGCTCATTCCCTGCAGCAGGGACTTCAGATGACAGTGATGGCCGGCATTCACAACACTGTCAGAAATAAGCCAAACCTTTTAGGGTTAAAAGTGTCATTTTATTTCGATGTTACTTGTACATAATCTATATAGTAAGATATACAAACAGATAAAAATTGTTTGACAGGAGGTTTTTGAATACCGCTTTAAATCCAGTTCACATCAGTACCGGTGTTACTGCAGGATGGCAGACACTCGGGTTCAGAAACGAAAAGCACCTGTGCTCTGGCTGACGCGTCCCTACGTCCTTAATGGGTTAGAATGTATCACGTATTTCAGTCGCAAATTATCACAAAACTTTCACAACCTGGCCATTTGGTACTCAGAAAAGACTTTGAGAGTCTACAAATTCACGGAAATAAACATGTTAATTCTCTAACAGTATACGTTTCACTAAAGAAACATGTAAGGGAACGGAATCTTAGGGTTTGGTTTAGGCGAACAGAAGGAAATCGGCTACACCATGTTTGTGCTGCTGCCGTGTGACAGTGCGCAGTCAGGGCCCGCAGCCTGCTCTGTGCTGTGAAAGAGCTGGTAAGGTATCAACGTGAAATGCACGTGGGAAGAAGAGACTGGGGACGATTTAAAGTAACCTCACGATAATACAGAACTACTTTAAAATGTGAAAGTCATAGATATGAAATATGCTTTTAAATGCTTTTCTCTATTTGTTTTGGTAAATCCTTTTTGAAAATGAAAGCTGAAAATTCAACATAATCACTTTTTTCATATAATACCATATTAGAAAAAGTATGAACTTAAATTTTAGAATCAATCAAATTTGCTGAGAAAAATACTGCCAAAAATGATCGGAATCGAATTTTCGTCTTTTTCCATTCTTTTAGATGCTACAGGAAACAGCTCAGGGCACAAGGTGTTTCACTAGTCTGAAAATGAAGCTGAAAAATAACTTGTTGATGAAATTACAGGAAGAAAACTAATAACTAATAGGCTTATGAATATTCATGATAAAGTGCCGCTGATTTTACGGCAGTAAGATAGAAATAGAAGAAAGCTGACACCGGTAGCAGCTTCATGTGCCCTCCCCATCCTGAGAACAGAGGGACACGACACACAAAGGAGCGTCACCAAACACGGACTCCAGAACTGCAGGTCACTCCTAATCCAAAAGTAACAAAAACACAAAGCACTGTTACTAGTCAAGGCAAAATATTGTTACAAAGACAAAATAAGACTAAAAATGATAAAACCCCAAGAATAATGCCAACAGAGTAGGCCTCTACGTTAAAAAAAAAAGGAGAGAAATTTAAAGGCTCATTAATAACTACTGCTTATTATATTGCACAAAACTACAGTGACGGCCAAGTGGTGACCGGCTCCGAGAGGCAGGGACCCCAGCAGCAGGCGCGCAAACCGCCGGGGTGGCCGAAGGGGCTCGACGGCCTGTGTAATCACGGCCTTGGAAAAAAGATGCAGATGTGAGGCTTCTCAGAGTTTCAAAATCTATGTGACTAAACCCAACGTACGGGCTGCATTGATGACCACATACAAGCCAAGCCAGTGTCCACTCAGGGACACACAGACATGCTGGGGGGACGGGGTGGGGGTTCATTTCCGAACTCATTCACACAGCTCTGTCACAGTCCTGTTTACTGTACATTCCTACCATCGACCCAGACAGCTCTGTCTTTAGCTCAAGATTCCTCCATCATGATGGAGTATCACTGGTACCTGCCATCTGTTTGAAATGCTGGGCCTACTTAAGAACTCCTTGGTAAGTAAAGTGTCTTAGTGTATTTGTGCAGTCCTATTTATAATCAAAACCTAGGGTGCTATTTATTCCAGACAAGCCGTTATCCTTCACTCAAAATTATAAAATATAAGCTCTCATCCACGAGCTTCCCCACGTCTGCCTTCACCAGGAACATGAACCCTGTGGGTCTCCGCATTACCGTGTGGGAAGAGGAGAAGGAAGGGTGAAGGGGAAAGGAAGGCAATCTGCTACAGCTACAGGTCTAATCTAATCTGAGGTACTTGTTCAAATGTAATGTGCTGATGACAGTCTGAGAAAAGAGAACTGTGTGCTTCTAAGACAGAGCGAAGGCCCCGTCCCTGGGATGGAGCCCCGATCTAAGAGCTGGCAACACCTCTAGTCACCTGCACCTAGGCTCCAAGTTCAGACCGTGTGGAGCCAGGTGCTGTCTGGAGCGTAGGGAGCTAAGAACTCCACCCGGCCTCACTCAGGACAGGGCTCCGGGAAGGGAGGTCTCCTTTGCGAGCAGAGCCCACACTCGGCAGCTCTGCCCGACTCTGCCCGCAGTTTCCAGACCGTTCGCCCTGCTCTGCAGGGCTGGTGCCCAAGCTGAAGGGAAAAGGACCCTGTTCCTCACTTTTATCACTACTGAGCTGTTTACCTCGTACAGAAATCATCAACAAGCATTGACGAAGTGAATGCCCACTGGGAATCCTGCCTGGAAAGGGCCCTTCCAATTTCACATTTTATAAGAGCGTGCAAAGGCAGTGACATTATTCAACAGAACATTCAAATTCACGGAGTCTACCACGCCAAGAAAACGAAAGCAGAAGCATTGGATTCTCCTTACTTATTAAATCTTTCTCTCTAGAACCAGTTTCGGAGACACACACACACAAAGCTGAAACAGTATCACGTACTGATTGGAAGACGTCACTGTGATGCACAGTCATTGGCCTTGCCAGGGCCCAAGGCCAAGCAGCGCCACGAACACACAGCAAGTCTGCAGGATTACAAGGTACGAGTAAACCCAAACTGCACTAAACACTTGCATAACCAAGGAAAAGGAAGCCAACTGCTGTTTTCAGGACAATGCAATAGTTACAGCGTGTTCCTCATGTGCAGCACGATTTGCTATATTTAGTGGCACTTAAGTATTACACAGTAAATGCTTAAGGAACCCAGAATTTTTGGATGTGCAAAAGCAGTATCACGTTATTAATACAAAAGTCGCTAAGCTACAGGATTATAATACCACTATTTGGGTGTTGAGAACACTTAACATTTCCAATACACCTCCCCACACGGCCCCGTGCCGCCCGGCGACCCGCCTCAGTCAGACCAGTCGTTCTCGTCGAACTCGGAGTCATCGTCAGAGTCGCTGTACTCCACGGCAATGCGCCTGGACAGGATCGTGGCCACGTCGTTCCCCACGGGCTCGCGCTTGGCCTCTTGTTCACGCTGCTCCTGCACCTTTTTCAGCTGAATTCCTAAAGACACAATACACAGTTTAGATTTAAATCCTTTTACTTGCTCCAAATTAAAAGAAAACAAACTAGTAAGTCTACTTCACTGTCTTTTCTCCCTGCTGACACTAAGAATAAAAACAGTTTTGAAAATCTGAAATGAGAAAAGCTGGGAAAATGACACGTTTCACGACCAAAGAAAGTAAGGAGCACACAAGGTCATAATATTTTTGGTAGTGAAGTAAGGTGTTGAAATATAAAACTACTATAATTTCAGGGCACATGAACAACATTTAAGAAAATCGGAGAGCTGCACCATCCAACATGGCAGCCACTAGCCGCAGGTGGCTGTGCAGGTGACCGGCAGTGGCGAGTGGCTACCACGCTGAACCGTGTGGACTCAGAACACCTCTCTCATCACAGAACAGTTTCCGGCACAGGCTGGATGGCTCTTGGCTAACCTACAGAGGTGACTGACAAACATCTGTTTCAACAATTTATTGTCGGAATGGGTATGAAATCCAAACATCTACTCTCTTACCTAGTAAGTAACAAAGTGGGCTATTTTCTTTCTGAAACCATTTCTGATTTATCCAGTAGCTGTAAGACTAGTATTAAAATGTTCCCATATGACCTACACGTCCAGATTCCCCAAGTGATAACCTGATCACATTTGTTTTACAATCTCTATCGCTGTTACTAATATACACATGGACACTTTTTTTCTGGACAATTTGAGAATAAGTAGCATGTAATTGGGTACTTTGCCCCTAAAATATTTCATGTGTAATTCTCAAAACAACGATGATCAAATTCAGACTATTAGCAAAGACATAATACCACCATCCAGTCTACAAATTTTACTTAAGTTTTGACAACAGAGCTAATACAGCAAATGAAAACTGGTTTCCACCAGAGTTGGGATCCATTCCAGATCACCTATCACGTCCGGTGTCAAGTTTCATTAATGTTTCTCTATCTGGGCAGCTCTTGGTGTTTTATGACCTTCACGTTTTGCAGAAAGTCCTTAATCGGGGCTCGTCAGAGGCTTTCTCATGAGCGGACCCTCATGGGTGGACAGCTAGCTGCACGTGTATCATTGTTACCCGGCAGGGCTCACAGCTGTCGAAAATCAAAATGCTGTCCTATTATGACTCCAAGTTTGTTCTCAATAAGGTATTAAAAAACTCTGGGACTTTTTTCTTGACAAAATCAAAACGTGTCAATGACATTCCAGACAGACGAGAACGCTCGGGTCTGGAGGCGGGTGTGTGGGCCGCGCTCAGGCCTGGCTCGCGGGCGCTCTGGCACAGAGCAGAGGCGGCCGTGTCCCAGCGGTCCGGTGGAGGGCGCCACTGATGCCGCAGCCAGGCTCCCTCAGGCCCTGCCCGACTGAAACAACCGAACTGTGGCCAACAGACCGGGCAGCTCCTCGATGCTCGAGAAGCTTTCGGAATTATTCTGCATCCTGTTGGTGACCCTGGACCAGCCAGGGCTGTGGCCTGGGGGAAAGAATAAGAGGTGGGAAGCCGATGTGCAACTAGGGTCCTGAAGGAAGGCATGTGGGTGATGGGCCAGCTCCCCGGCTCTGATCTGCCCAGAGATGCGCTACTTCTGTTTCACAGCCTGCAGGTCCAGGGTCGGACTTGCATCGGACACAGGAGTTCTGCAGCTACATAAATGTTGGAAACTACTGGCTTAAGCATATCCAGCTAAAAACATGAAAAGTCTAAGCTATATCTTAGGTATTAAAAAAACAAAATCATTAATATGATCTCATTTTCTTTCATTTATACTTTTACCCTAAGAGTAGAACACAGAGAAAAGAGTTGATTAATTAATAATCATTTATATTATTTATTTCTAGTCAAGTAAAGCTTTCCTGAATTCTCAGTTCTTTATCATTATGTGTTTACTTTGCTGGCAAAAACACATCTATTATTTTTTAAAATATCAAATAAAGCTCCTTTAACCATATTCTAAAAACCAATCTACTGTAGGGAGTAGCCGTTTGAAGATTAGGATACAGCTGGTTGGAGACATAAATCTCTTTCTGAACGGGAGACGGCACCTTTGGGGACCCACTCACCCATTCGAATAGCAGCAAGAAGATCACTGCGAGCATCGCTTACGGGTGGCTGTGCAGTTTCTTGTCTCTTTGCCTCAGCTACTGGAGGGCCGTGCATGGGGGAAGATGAGAGAGAAGAGCCTGGGCCAGGAGGGCCTGGCGGGGGAGGTGGGGGTCCCGGGGGAGGTGGGGCCGTGGCCACCAGCCCTGTGGAGGGTGGATGAGGAGGTGCTGGGTAGGAGGACCCAGCTGATGCTGGGAAGGAGGGCTGCACGGGAATCTGGAGTGGACTGACAAAGGCGGTTTGTGCTGAAGGGATCATGGGGGGCGGTGGGGGAGGAGGAGGTCCTGAGGGGCTGTAATATTCGATGATCTGGGCTGGGAGCATCCTAATGAGAGAGCAAACACGGAATCATTAAAGCAGCAACCAAGGGCCACATGTGAGGTTCTGACATCCCTAATAGAAAGACCTCCCCCAAACACAATACGTATTGTCATTTGGATTTAAAACACTGCAGGGGCAAATATCTGCTCTTTGGCTTCACAGGTCTACATTATTCACTGTGGTGGAATTCACAACCATCCACTAAGATCCATTCAAAGGATAACCACTCAGAAAGTAACTTTCTGTGAAATGCTAGAACAAAATACACAAATGCTTCCTTTAAACTGGCCATCTCGAAAGCAGGGGGCTCACAAACTTGTCTTATAAGGGTTCTGTGGCCAATTAGATTTGGAAAATTCTGTATTTTATACCTCATCTCCATGGAAATTCTCCAAGCCCACAGTGCACATCAGAATGTCAAAAGCTTTAAAAAGTCCTACAGCCAAGAAATCTGCTGAATTCTGTTTAGTCAATGGTTTTGCTACACAACTGGACTCCAGACGCTCTTTCTGCCTGACACTTAGAGCCTCAGAACGAACTCTGGGTGGGAGTCCTGACTTAGAAAGAACCGGCGATGGGAAAGAGCCTGCTGCGAGGTCAGTGAGGGAGAAGACCTCTGAAAGCGGAGGGACGTGCGTCGAGGAGGTGACGCCGCTGCTCTGCACTGCAGAACACACGGCCAACGAAACACATACCCGGCTTTCCGGGGCAGTGACTCTGAGGGGTGACTCTCTCAGATTAGGGTTAAACCAAAACACGGAGGGCAAGGATAGCCCATCAAAACACAGGTGGGGGCTTGAATTACTAAATGTGTGAACACGAGGATCTCTCTAGGGGTGTTCGAACTGCCCCCATATGACAGAGAAAGAGGTGGCAGCATGATGACTGGGGAGCACCATGCAGCCGAGTGTGAGAAGCACACAGGGATGCTGCTGCTTTGTGTGGTGCTCCCGCCTGTGGTACGAACTCTCTGTGGTTCACCCGGGACACGTGCACAGTTCTGGGGACAGGGACAGGTGCACAAAACCACAGCTCCACCTTTCATTGATGCCTTGGCTTAACAACCCACTCAAACATGCATGAGCGTGTGTATTAAGGGAGCGTACATGAATACGGACACACACCCGAGAATTATCTGAAATTTAAAAAAAGTGACGTGACACTGCATTTTTAGACGTAATTTGTCATAAGCAATAGTATCTATAGTCAGTCATTCGGGCTACATTCTGGCCTCTAAAATATGATTATTCAATTAAAATCCTCATACTGCACACAGGGAGATTTCACTGCAGTGATGAGCAGCGATTCGAGTACGAGGAACACAGAATTACCCGTAGTCCGCTGGAGCCGCGGGCGCCGAGGCCTGGGGCCCCTCTGCAGCCTGTGCTGGGGGTGGCGGAGGCGGCTGCTGAGGTCTATTCAGGGCCATGTGCCTGGCCGAGGCAGAGGGAGGTCGGTACTCGTGCTCGGGGGCCTGGCCAGCTGGCCCATGGGGCGGCACATCACCCGCTGCGTAGGAAGGGGTGACAGGCTGCGGGTGAAGAGAATGGTTGGGAGTGGCCGGGTAAGAGTAATCTGTGACATCCGACGCGTGAGACCTGACGTTCAAGGAAAGGAGAAGATTAAGTTAAAAAGACTCCCCAAACAGGCACAAGCCTATATTTGAATAGTAACCAGTGCACTGAAAGCACACGTTTACTTCCTTTACTGTCAACTAGGTCTAACCCCACGAGAGCTTCCAAGCAACAATGTTATGACGACTTCAGTAGCAGGCTGAGTGTTAACATGGATTCAGATTCAGAGCTTCGGAGTGAGTAAGTCAGACAGGTCAGCAAGCAGGAAACAGCAGAGCCCCATCTCACAATATTTCAGCGTACCTTTCCGTCAGAGAGGGTACAAGTTCCATTTAATTTAAAGACAGTATGGAAGACAGAGGACTTCAGGGCCCATGAAACCGATAGCATCTCATCAGAAATTACAAAATGGCAGGTAAACTGGATAAATATTAACAGCAAGAACAAAAAAGGAAATCAAGAATGCAATATGGTGAAATGTAGTTTTCTCAAATAGAAGAAATTTATTTAGCCAAAAGAGAAAGAACACGGTGGAGTGTGGAAGGGCCTTCCTGTTTCTCTGAACGCACAGTTGCAGGGGAAACTCTGGGAGACACCGAGACTGCGTGTTAGCCGACAGCTCGGACGGACGCCGGCCAGGCCCTCGGGAGGCCCGGGGACCCGTGTGCGCCGCAGCTGCACAGCGCGTGGTGTTAGTAACGGACATTCGAGCTCCTGGCCTGGTTACGGGACACGTGGTCAGTACGGGGGGCTGCACATCCTCTCCCAACAGCCGAAGCGGGTGGGCGGCCTGAGGCCGGCAATCCAAGAAGCAAAACGACAAACCCTCTGGGCGTCCTGTCCTCTTTCGTGCTCCCTGCCTGCTCCAGGGTCCTCGCGTCACTCATAAACTCAATGCCCATTTTCCTCCTCTCCCACTCTTCTTTTCTTGTTCTGACTTTCCTCACGTGTGTGTGCTGGCTCCGGGCAGGACTCAGCTTGTGTTTCTCTCTCTGAAGGAAACAGGCAGACACACGTGGGGAGGGGGAGCGGCAGGGGAGACACCGGCTGAGCTTCGATCTCGGGATTCAGGCGGCGGCTTCCCTTAACTGGAGCACTGCAGGGCACAGGAAGGCTCTCTACAAAAGACTGCTTCCTTTCTTCCCTAATTGCAGTAATCATAATAACTAATAACACATTTTGTTCTGCCCTAGTTGCAGTATAAATTCTATATTATGATACACTTATATCTTTTGAACTACGTGAACTACTGGCAAGTAAGTTTAAAATATGCTTAATGGGGGAAGAACCTCAGCTATATTTAGATTTAACCTATTTTTAGAGTGTAAATAAACACCTAAAACTCTGGAGGCACTGGTGACATGTGCTTGACTCTGTGTGTGTGGCTGTGTTACAGGCCATGCATATGACTCTGTAAAGGAAGCAAAGTCATCTAGAAAAATACGGAGTTCTTCTCATGAGATGAGGAGCCAAGAATTGTAATTATTCTGAATAATTTAGCATTATCCTTATAAAGTAGCTTTGCGACTTGAGTTGAAAGAGGCCAGTAAAGAGGGGGATACCCAGATGGATGAGTGAGTAAGGAACGGGCAGGGAATGCCTGAATTGGAGAACTCCAGCAGGGGAGCGGTGGACGGCAGGACTTGGAGGAAAGGTGCGCAGGACAGGGAACTGACTGGGTGAAGTGCAGCTTACCTACGGGGGCCCAGCAGGCTGGAGGACAGGCGAGGAGTGCAGTGACTCTAGGAGACAAAGACCCCCACGAGGAAGGCACAAATCAGCCACAGAGACACTACGCCAATGTGGCCGTGAGCGGGGGGCCCTGTAACTCTCTGTTACAGGGCAGAGCACTGGTGAGAACGAGGTGATTTGGAAACAGGGAGAACACAAGGAGAGGGGCTCAGTGGGAGAGTCCAATGACTCCCCCAGGTGTTGGTGGGCAGACGGGTGGGCAGTCAGAGGTGCAACACAGGGTCCAGAACGGGATGAGAAAAGCACAAGGCCAGCTGGCGAGGCAGGCCGCACAGCCCCCGAAGAGTGATGACAGGGGGCAGTGGGCATTCGATCAACTCCTATCCTAAATTTATACTTAGAATCCCATCTTTCCTGATCAGTACAGAGAGCAAAAATGCAGAAATTTATTGTTAGTTTATGTGAACTGGGTTAGAGTATATTACTTACATGAGCAGCTTTATTATATGTATGCCATGAAACTCAATATTCAAACTTCTCCCAGTTATCCTAATATAGCCATGAAAAACCATGGCTCCAAATAACATTCAAAATATAAATATAAAAAATAAAGAAGGGAAAAGATTAAAAATACAGGACATGATCTCAATTTTGTAAAGGAAACACACACACCTGTATGGGAAAAAGACCGAGGGGAAAGCACACACTAACGTGCGAGTGGAGGTTTCTCTGGATAATAGGGTTTTGGATAATAGTTTGTTTTCTGTGATTTACAAATATAAAAATGTATTTTACTTTATAATAAGAAAGAGTGATATACTTTAGTAAAATAAAAAGTTTCCAAATTAATTTACAGGATGTGATCCAAGTACAATGATTAATTATAATCTATTTATCTAGTACACGTATTTCATGAGAGGCCATGAAAAACAGTATGAGACAAAAGCAAATTCTAAAGAAACAAAACTGGTAACTCCATTTGATTTTTGGAAAAATAAGTGAAGGTATATCTAAAAAAAAAACAGATACAAAGGCAAAATGCTAAAGCATCTGAGTGCGCACCAATTTGATACCCAGCATGGGGCAGTTATGTCAGATGTTGGAATATGAATCAACCATTCGACTGAGGGATTAAAAAATCATTTTCCATCTGTACCTATTGAACTAAAAGAATACATATGAAGTATTATAAAATAAAGTATATGTTCTGCATGAGTAAACAATACAACTAAATTAGCTCAAAAAACCAAAGAGCGAATCGACATCCTGGGAGCTGTCAAGTTTAAGTGCTCCTCCCACCCAAAGAACTACCAGCAGAACTGAATCATTATTCTTACTGTTGACAGAAATAAATTGACACCAAGATTCAAACTTGAGACGAGGGCTCAATTAAGGTCCAAATATTCTCTAATATTTTGCAGAAAACCCCTTATACAGAGAAATTACCTAGAACTGGCCTCATCTCCAACCAATGACTTGCAGCCCCTCTGGGTGGGAATGTTTACGGGTCCTGACCCGACGCTAGGCGGCTGCAGTGTGTGGGGCGCGGGCTAAACACTGACGAGGCAAAAACAAAACTGGTCTAAAAAGGACACAGATCTAAGGCCAGGTCCTGGGAGTTGCTGTTTTTTGAAACCTCTTTCAATCACATGAGAATTCTCTGTTCAAATTTTTAAGTGCTGACGGAGGACTTGGAGCAATTCTACAAATACAAGACAACTTTACAAGAGCAGAAGAGGAAAGGAAACTGTAAGTTAAAATTGACTACTTAGTTCCTGTTGTTCACTGACTCCCTTCTGTGACAAATGTGACTTACTGACCACACCATTCACACCTGTAAGAAATAGTTTTACTTAATTGTTAACATGTTTTGAAGTAAACGCCAACAGAATTCTTCTCCTGAAATCAGAGTACATAAGATTAGTGAACTAAAGAAATAAATCTCTTTTGTTCATCAGTTTTTAAAAGGCTATGAAAAAGAACAATGAAGTTACTCCTTAATCACATCAGTTGCTACCTACCAATCATTTTTTGATATCAAGTAGCAAAGAAAAGTCAACATTCTAAGCTAAATAATAAGACAAAGAATTAAGTGATTTACAATAAAAATGTAGGTCACTGGCAGTCATTAAGCCCAAATTCAGAATCCATGTTAAAACACTACTTATCTAGAGTAACTGAATAATAAACTAAGTCAGAGATACGAAAAAGCATACAACATAACCCAATGTTATATTGTAAACTAAATGCTGTAAAGCAAACTTTACAATGTTATGTTGTAAAGTAAATTAAAACCGCTTTAAATTATTTCAAATTCAAATACATGCATGTACACGCACATAAAATTTTTAAGGAAAGATTTGAAACATATTGTGGCCACATAAATGCCAAAGCTACTACTAGTCATTTCCAGGTAACAGTAAACCGAAGCGCTGCTCAGGGCATCACCACACACGCACACACCTAGTGTCTGGGGACAGGGATCCCTCGGAAGATGCTCCATGGTACACACTCTGAGACAACCTGTTGTCGGGTCTGAGCTCTTTGTCATACGCCATCATATTCCACTCCTGGCGCCTGTTCCTGGCTTTTCTAACCTTTTTCACCTCACGGGTGGTGCCATCTATACGCTTTTGCTCCTGAGGTCCAGGAAAAGAAAGCAAGCATGCCAAGACAGAAGGGAAAGGAAAACAGATTAAACACAGTTATAATGCTCCGGAACAAGCCTGGTGTGCGGACAAGAGCAAGTCCCCTTCCCATCACTCTGATGTTAGAAAATTCTAACACAGCCACTCTCTCACCCAACGCAGAGTAACCAATACTTAACTATTTAACCTAAATAAATAAAAATTACTCTGCTGCAACTACCAGAGTTTCTTACCGTCAGTTTCAATAAACATTTCTTGCCTTACTAGGCTTTTAGCTTGTTTTAAAGGCACCATATGTTTTAGATCTACATTATACAGATGAAATGTCTGATGACATCCTAGAGAAATCCCTTCCCACCCCTACGTAATTCTGACTGGTTTGTTAACATGCAATCATCTTTCAAAAGGAATTCAAGATGTTCTGTTTTCAGTTTCTAAAAGAAATACTCAAGCTAGTCCTGCAATGAGCTGAACCCCAAACAAAAATAAGGTAAGAACTTACCTTCCCATACAGACTCACTCTTGCTCCAGTCCTACTTTGCCAGCAAAAATGTATCCAATAAATACCTGGGTCTCACATAAGTGCTTCTTCAAAGGTGAGAACAATTATTTCTATGTGTGTTTGTATGTTTTTCCTGCCTCCCCCATAAATTTTATGCTCTCTAAGGACAAGAACTAGGTGCCTTTAAGACCTACACTCCTCAGACGGTCTCTGCACACGTGGTTTTACCCAGAGTGTACACTCAGTCATCAAGTCCAGGTAAGCTTATGGGGCTTACTACATCCCAGCCCACGCCAGGCAGTGATGATAAAAAGGACAAATAACAACAACAAAAAGACAGGTGTCTGTCCTCATGGAGCCTGCAGTCCAGTGGGGAGACTACACAATCAAAGAAATAAATGTGTAATTATAAAATGTGGTGAAACAGCCCTGGCTGCTGTGGCTCAGTGGATTGAATTCCTGCCTGTGAACCCAAGGGTCACTGGTTTGATTCCCAGTCATGGCATATGCCTGGCTTGTGGGCTGGGTCCACAGTTGGGGGAGTGCTAGAGGCAACGGATAGATGTTTCTCTCCTTCTCTTTCTCTCCTTTCCCCTCTCTCTGAAAATAAATAAAAAATTTAAAATGTGGTAAAACACAAATGCATTGTGTGTAGAATGCTGTCTATTCTGCAAGTTGGGGACAGTGCCTAGGAGTGAGTGAAAGGCAAGACCTGTATAGAGTGGGCATTAGTTTTGCAAAGAAGCTCACGTCAGATGCATGCCAAGAGGGGACAGAGTGTGGGAGGACTCTGACGAGCAGGGAGAGCATCACATTAGGAAAAATAAAAGAAGATAAGTGGTGAATGAGGGTGAATGAGGGTGAATGGCCCCCAAGATCAGAAAAAAAGACAAGATCTTAACGGCTACATTAAAAATGTTGTTCTTCTAGTCCTGTCTGAGTAGCTCAGTTGATTGGAGCATCATCCCCATATGCCAAGGTTGCAGGTTCAATCCTCAGTCAGGGCACATACAAGAATCAATCAGTGAATGCATAAATAAGTGAAACAACAAACTGATGTTTCTCTTTGTCTAAAATCAATAAATTAAAAAAATTTTTAAGTGTTGTTCTTTATCCCAAGAGCGATGGAGAACCACTGAACAGTAAGATGGGTGGGGTTGACATACTGAAGAGGAAGAGGCATTTGAAAAAAATCCCTCTAGTAATGGAGAACAGACCGAGGGGAAGGCAGAGACACCAGGAAGAAAGCCAACTCCGGGGGCCTGGCTGACAGGAAGGCAGGCAACTCAGGGCGGCAGTGCAGACAATGACTGGACTGTTTTTGGAGGAATCAAGGAGGCGCAGACAATGTATTGGCAAAGAACATCTAAATATGAAGTTCACAGAAAATATATAAAGAGTTAGTAAAGATGAACAGATATGTAATGTATATTAGATTTTTGGGGGGGTGGGAAGAAGGCTCATCAAAAAAAAATATCCACAGAGGAGGAAGCCTGTTGAGAGTATACACTGGTTTGGTGTTTTAAGGGTCAGAGGCAACATGATGATATCTTTCAAAATTTCAACTCACATTCAGCTTCTAGAAATTTACCCCAAAGAAATATCTGCATATGTGTACAGGGATACCTACTATAGTATTGTAATAGCAACAATTTAGAAACAACCTAAATATTCATTAATATAGTAATGGGTAGTTCATGACACATCGTAGTTTAGAATACTACACAACTATTAAAAAGAATGAAGTGTATCTCCAGTTATATCAATTCATGTGTATGCTTGTATGTATTAGTTGTATGTAGTACATTTCTATCTATGTAAAAATACTTTGTGTAATGTATATGCATGTATTTATGAATGCCTGAAAATAAAAATACTAAATCTAAAAATATGCATGCCAAACTGCTAAATGTTAATGTAGTCAGTTATGCCCAGGGGAAGGGAGACACCCCAAACTTTCCAAACTAATATATTGACTTTAGTGTAATTTGAGCATTTTACAACCAGTATCTATTGTGTGTATACTTCTAAAAACTAAAATTATAACAACAACAAAAGAAATAAAAGGAAGGAGATTTCAATGGATTCCAACATATATCCTGATTAAATTAATTATATGTTCCCCTTACTTTTAAGAGATGTTTGTTGACATATTTAGGGACTAAATGTTATAATAACTGTCTCTGTAAATGGTTCAGCCTCAGATTTGCCCACCAACATGTGCACACCACGCACACAGGGAACCAGGTACGACAAAGTGTTAGCAGTGACGTAGCCGTACTCTAACTACACTGACCGACACCCAAATCCTAGAAGAAGCCAAAGTTGTTTCTTAGCCCAGAATGATCTTTGCTACTTCTACTTAGAAGGCTCCTCAATTCTAAAGCACCCCGCCTCCTCCAGCACCCCCTCACCTACACATGAACACACATGCACCCACACACTGACTGATCTCGGTGAAGGACACCCCTGAGAGGCTGTCCTTGACACTCCACTTCCTTTTCACTGTCCTCCCCCACGCTGTCATCTGACCCACAGCATGCCATCTCCTTCAAAACACTCACCAGCAGTGTAACCGCATACTTAAAAACTACGTATTTACTTGAGTAACTTTTAAAATGTTTTTACACTATGAAAGTAAGAAAACAAAGTTCAAAAACAATGGAATTCTCATACCCAAATTTTCTAAACTAATTTTTCTTCAGAGAGACTAGGCAGTTCCAAATTGAAAGTGACATGCTTTTCAGAAACCCTGGAGGATTTCCAGAACAAAGGATATCTTGCTGCCTCATTTTCTGTTCTTACATAGAGCAGATTTGCATTACAATTTCTGAATTTCTTTCCCTCTATGAGTTTCAGGGGGCTGCATGACTGTTTAATGTTTGTTTTCCCCACTCTACTGCAATCTCCATGAGGGTGATAATCCTATCATTTGCACCACTGTTTATCTAGCATTTAAAGGCATTTAAAAAAAAGAATCATTAAATAAATGAATGAATAAGAAATTCTTATCAGAATTTTATGTGTTTGAAGAATGTGCAAGACCGCCAAGGAAATGACAACTAATTGTGATGGCCTGATTATCGTACGTAGGTAACTGTCCTCCCCTAAAGAACACTGGTGAAAAAATTATAAATATTTTCATCAAAAGTTATCACTGAGAAGGGAAACCTAGATGATCATTTGAAAGGCAGGCACATTTTAAAGGAAATTGCTCTTAAAATCCCTGGCATTTTGCCCTTTTACTACCAAGAGGTGTGGCCATCAAGACCAATATGACTTTATTAAGTATCTGTTTCTTTTCTGTTCCAGAGAATGGGATCTTCCTTTTCTTCACTTGATCACTTTATAGCTTTTTAGGTGGAATACTCCTCCATCTGAATGAATACTCAGTACCTCTTCCAAGACTTCCCAGTTAATCTCTCCAACCCAGGAGAGATTCACTGTGCACACCACGAGCAAAAGAGGAGAGGATGACTAACCAAGCCTATGGAATTCTCTCCTAGAGTTCAGTAACATCTTACACTTACAGTTCGTAAATTATTTTCATGTTCCCTATCTTAAATCCTGTTTTCAAATTTCAAATTATCTTCCATCCCAAACTGTCACCCCTACCAAGCAATATGTCTAAATGCCTCAAAACCTTAAGACTGAGAACCCACAAAAGGTAAGCAGTTCTCTTAACTAAAGCACTCTAATATTCATCAAGCACTCTAATATTCATCAGGCACTCTAATATTCACCAAACCAGGTGGTCATATTTTAAACAGCTTACTTGTGAAAAGTCTTAGCAAATATTAGCCTTTAGAGAATTAACTCTTCTTAGTGCTTAAATCTAATTTCTAGGCCCCAAAGGACATCAAAACAGAAGCCCCTACACCTGAGCAGAGTGGGCTTGTCCCTCCCAGAGTGCTTACAATGCAGGTGCTGGTCAGCCTTCAGACTTGCAATGACCTTGCCCACCCCTCCCCCCACAAAGGGATCTCCTTTCCTGTAAATACCACCCGCTGCACCTGCAGATCACACACACTTTCAATCCAATATGAACAGCCCGTCAAAGCATTAATTATACCTAAGTGGCAACCCAGCAGTGAAGAAAGCTTCAAAACAATGAGAGCAGATAACTATTTCTGATATGGAATGTTGACTGCTTTTGAAATCTAAGTGGGAGAAAAGTTCTAAAACATGGCCCTTGCTATTGTGGCTCAGTGAATAGAGTGCCAGCCTGTGAACCAAAGGGTTGCTGGTTCAAGTCCCAGTCAGGGCACACGCCTGGGATGTGGGAGAAAGGGGCACTTGAGAGGCAACCACACATAGATGTCTTTGTCCCTTTCTTCTTCCCTTCCCCTCTCTAAAATAAATAAATAAAGCCTTAAAAAAGTTTTAAAACATGGTTACAAACAAAAGTGAAATTTTAGCCACTACTTTTGTGAAAGCAAAGCAAGTGTCAGAGAACAAATCAAGAGATAATTTATTAAAAAATAGTATTACGGTGCTAATCCTAACAATATTACAAGTTAATACTAAGTTGTCAGTATCTTCACATAAATAATATAATCTCTAAAAACCTTCATCACTAAAGTGAACATCTCAACCATTCAAATGAAGAATTTACTGATGTCCTTCTACACAAGAATCCATTTACACATTTAGATGTGCATTTCCCTTACTGGAATTATTTACCTTTTGTCGCCTTTTCTCTTTCCTTTTGTCTTCTGTGTCCTGTAGCATTTTTTCTTTCCAGAGGTCAAAGAAATAGGAAGGATCAGTATAGAACTTCAGTCCGTCCTTTTTATCATCTCTATAAATCAAGGTATTACAAGTCAGAAAAAAGGGTTGTTAAATATCTACATATGAGCTAAGACAATTCACTTTTAACTCATGAGATTATAACATCTGCATGAGGCATTTTAACTGTCTTAGACATTAAGTATCTTAGATTTCCTTACTTGAATCAAAATCAGCAACTTTTTCCAGAATAATTAGCTAAAAATTCCAAATTTGGATTTAAGTATAGAAAAGTGCTCCTAAAAATCAAGATATGACTCATAAACAGTAATATTAAATCCCTTGATCATTTCAGAAATGTTCTGTTTATTCCCAAAGGGGGCCATACACAGAAACAGGTGGATTCTTCACTCACACACACGGTCACTTCCATTCAGGGTGTCAGTGTCATGAGGACAAAGATTAGTAATACTCTATCCCTTTTTTTCAACCAGGTTTGCCCAATATCTAAAAATTCATTTAGAAAAAAAGCAAAATATTGTGACTAAGATGACCAATGATGAAATAGTGTCAAAGTGGAAGTAACCCACAAAGAAAATTCACTTGCAGCCATTTGATTTTTAAGCATTGCTACAATTATTACGGTTTAGATACTATTTCAAGTCTTTATATAAGATATTCATTTATCATAAAACCAGTAAAAATGCAGCCAACATGAGTACAAAGTGCTAATATAAATCAATAATAAATCTCAAAATAATCATGATACTAAGTAAACACTTATTGTATTAATGCTTTAAAAACTAAAGAGGAAGAAGAGGAAGAGGGAGAGGGGGAAGAGGAGGAGGAAGAGGAACAGGAAGAGGAAGAGTTACGTGAATTACTCCAGGAGCAAAGCCTGCCTGCCCTTGAGGCGCCTGCTGTGCCCCGTTCTGGTGCACTCCTCACCAAATAATGAGGGCTGTTCTGCTCACTCACTCTGAGAATCACCAACAAACCAGTGCTTTTCATTCTATATCTAATCTCAGATTACTTAAAATCCTGCCTCTGTTTTCCGAAATCCCTAGTTGATGAGCACCCGAATTACAGGTTTCATTAATAACATTATTGCGAAAAAAATGTAATTTGTTTCCCTAAATACTAGGCCTCTGATATAGGTGAAGATAAAGAAAATCTGAGCATGAACTTGCTGCAAAATTTAAGATGTATAAAATTCACATTAAAAAATGGAGCTAATACTTAAAAGAGGGCAGAACTCACATAAGCTAACAAATGTTAACTTCGACATAAAAACATAGCAGAAGTGTCCTATGTTTATAGCAACTAAACACTTGATTTTTCAGTCACATCGCACTGCTCGTATATTAACTGTGTCATGAGCATCATACTCAAGTTCAAATGCAAAAGTTTGTGTTTTACATATGCAAAATATTACTGTATTAACAAAAAGTAGATTTGAATGGGCTCTGCTATTCTTAAACACACTATTAGAAAATCAGACATTTTTATTTTCCATAGAACTAAATACACACATGCACAATATATATGAGTTAATTCTTTATGAAATTAAAAATTTTAAATCACCACATATATTTCATGTTGATCTTGATTAGTCAAATGTGTTAGTTGAGTTTTCTGGATTTTCCCTTTAGGACAGAATATTTAGTGAAGTGTTTTACAAAAATCTCAGCAAGCAAGCCCTCAGGGCTCCCAGTACCTAAGTAAAACTGAAGCTGCTGACAAGCAAAACCGTGAGTTAAAACATCAGGCTTACAATAACGCTATTTACATATATCATTCATTTTAAATAAGTGTGCTAACACCTCCGGAGAGGTATACTTGTTCCTTGGTAAACTGGCATCTCGGCCCTCCTTTATCAGTGTCTCCGTGGCTCTCCCACATCCTTGAGAGAACATTTCTGTCCCTGCTGAAAGGACGGGGTGTAGTCGGAACTGCTGCGTTAGCAGTGGAGCAGTAGGTCCAAACATGGACTCTTAGACCGTGAGGAGGGACAGGAATTCAGACCAATGAAGACTCTGGGCACCCCCTGAAGAGGACCAATGGCCTATGAAGGCAGTAATTCTGAGAGGCAGGAACATCACCCACAGAGCAGACACTGTGGCAGTGAGGACGACTCCCTACCACAGTCTGTCATCAGAGGCTGAAGGAATATACTCCACAGGACGGGTAAAAAGATGGGCGAGGGACTCAGTGTGCAATGAGAAAGCACAGGACAAAGGGAGACAGGAAAGAGAGTGACAGAAAATATGGGAAGAAAGAAGCGATGCGGTGGGGGTGTAGCACAGGTGTTATAAAAAAGCATTTTTAGTTTCTTAATGTTAATTTTTTGCACTTACTTATTTTTCATTCTTTTTCTTGGAAGTCTGGTTTGGATACTGTGTCCTACCATTTTACAACAACAGAAAGTTAATGTGTTGATTGTATTTCCACTCTTAAAAACCCCTAATGCTGCAGAATAATTTTTCTGTATTAAATAACAAAGGTCTCTGCAGGGCTGCAATGCCGAGACGGTAATTTTGCTGCATTATAACCGAATTGTGCGTCTCCTTTCAAACTGACTCGGACTCCGAGGAACAACATAAGCACACACGATACTGCGTACTGCACCGTGCTCACTTCTACTTAAGATGCCTACATTGAAAAGCTAAAATTAGAACTCAAACATTTCTTGGTAAGTTTATCTATATTCTGAAATATAGATAAGCTTTCTAAAACTTTAACAATTCTGCACCAATGTCTAATTTCTTTGTCTATAATACTGCAATTCTTATTTTCGAAGTTGAAAGATTATGTTCACGGCGCCGTCACCCTCTTCCGCCTTCTCTGTGCTGAACAGGCCCCGGGAACACAGGAAGCCTTACCTGTACGGTGTCAGAATGTTCAGAGGAGGTGGCTTATCGCTCTGGTTGTAGATGTCCGCAACAGGGTTGGGGATGCTGTTCTTCGAAACCACTTGCTGGTCCTGGACTGTGGAACTTTTGAAAGCTTTTTTCATGTTGATATCCTGTAGTGACACTATTTAGAGAAAAGTCCCCCAAGTTGAGTCACATAAAAATATTTTAGCTGTTTAGAAACAAATATACTTTAAGTCACAATCATAAACATCTCTTAGAATAACCAAATAATATTTTTTAATTTAAAAACATGCTGAAGTAGCCTGTGCATTCCTTCCCTCTTACAAATCACAGTCATCTTTACGAAGTCAAGTCACAGCTTTCTTCTTTTGTAGCAATCGAATCATTTCATTAAACCTACTATTAGAGCATCATTATTTATTTAAATAGTACTTATTTAAAAACACACAGAAATATAGTTATGACTATAACATCACGTAAATGCATAGATCTGGGCATTCTGGGGCATAGAGAGGACATGTGAACAGTTAGTACTAGTTTAATTATAATATATGTAGGAAAGATTTCTGCAAAAAAGTTTTTAAAAATTGTTAAAAAAGGCATTAAGTTCTTCTGACACTATCATTCAGGAGAGACAACAAAGTTTTTCAACATATAGTCCTAAAAGTTAAGTAGCATGATACAAAACTATACTAAAGAGTGAGAAAATCAGGGCTAATTATACTCATTTCTTGTGTGTGAACAAATGTTACATCTCATGTATTAAGTCATCTGAATTTGACACAAACTTCCTAAGGTGAGCAAACTGGTTCATTCACCCACTTGACCAATGGAACTGAGACTCAGGAGATACCATCAAAATCTCATTAAATTTAACCTACAGGTTAACCTTTTCCAGTGTAAGTTTTATCACAAGCATTTCAGTTCCAAGGGGGGGAGGGACACCGAAAGAAGATAAATATTTAAAAATCACTTTGATACTAATTTGAAAAGTGAATGATTTACTTAAGATGTCAAAAGTCCTTCTCTAAATAAGCCAAGTAGCTATTAACATTTTATTTTTTAAAAGTAAAAAGATAAATTTTAAAAATCAGACTAAAAGGAGCATGCCTTTAGTTCCATTATTGTTGAAAAATCAGTAAGAATGTTTATAACAGATATTGAACTTTCAATGTTCTTCACTTTTGTTAAATTTCTAATTCATTGATTTAATTCTGCCCTTTGGAAAAAAATGTTAAATGAGGGATGAAGTCCATAAATAACCACATAAAAAAAATAAAATCTTCAACTTTTACTAATACAACTATTATAGGTCTAGTAGAAAAAAGTCAGATGCTAGGATCATTTTAATGCAATAAAAGAAATTGTAACTTCCATTATATAAAAATAAAAATAATTTGTAATTGAACATTTTTCTCCAAGTCAACATATAACAACATTTCTTATAGGTTTTTTACTGATTTTTTTCCCAGTCTAATCTCAATCCTTTATTCAAAAGACACAGCAAGTGAAATTTTAAAAAAGGAATTGAGTTTTAATTTCGCTGAGACTGCCACCATTTCAGGGTGTATCATCAAAGTGATTAGAGTTAACTACACAGAGTTTGCCCATATTAATACTATTTTAAGAGCTGGAAGCCTAAGGGGTTTCAATCAATGCTATTTTTGAGACATTAAATCACAGAGATTATTTACAGGCATCAACCCTAACAAGAATATGGGGGATAAGCCTTCATTCTGTCACACTCTGTACATATAACCTTCCCTCTTAGTTGGACCATATCTCTGGGTTGATTCTATCATTTTTAGGTAAGAAATATCTTTAAAATAACCACCAATAACATAAATTAGGGCTTCTAATACTGACTGCATTCAAAGAATCCTCTAAAACAAATACGTACTTTTTTTTTAAAGATAGTATGACATACGAAATAAACAAGATATCTTTTAATCACGAATTAACCTCACTGTTGTTCTAGCAAAAGATGAAAAATCAGCGTATTACCCCAGGGAAAAAAGCAGTAACTGCCCTGCAATCAATTACTATCTCTCGTCAAGATCACTTCTGGTTCACGCATTCATGCAATTACCTACCCTCTTCCACTGTTGAATCCAGTTGGGTAACTTTGACAGCAAGGCGATCAATTCTGTCTTGAAGAGAGTTTGCTCTGATGTAAAAGTTGTTAGCCTCATTAAACAGCTCACCAAATATGTCTTCAGCATGTTTGCCTATAGGAGAAAATGAATGGAGGGAGCCATCTGTTAAGAACTGCTGAGGCGGCCGGCACACGTTCTCACCAACGCTGATCACTGTCAACATGTGGGATTTTGTGTAAATGATCATGAAAACGGAGTGTCACAGTCAAGGGCCTTGAGAAGTTTTGAAAATTTATTAGAGTTGTTCACATATATTTGAAATTTACCCAAGTTGTAGAATTTTAAAACACCTCAGATAGTATAGAATCTTAATTTAATTGCTACATGAGCTATCATGCAAGTTGTTTCCACTAAATTAAACTTCTTTGAAAAAAAAATTACTCTCATTTTGTAAGCTTTATGCATAAAGAGAATCTCAGGACCTAAACTTTCCTTTTATTTCCAAGGATAATTCAATAAATCATGTTGTTTTCTAAATTTAGGATTTTATCTTATTCACAGAAACATTAGATATCTTACATCACGCCTCACACTTTCCAATGGCATTAAATTGTTGTAATTCATAGTCTGAAATCCAGTTATACAGTGCTGCCTCTGGAACTCTCTAAAAATCAATATTTTGAATTTCGAGTTAAATTTTTCTGTATGGATCACCTCTACATTCCTGTGAGTGCTGGACATGGCTACTTTTCTTCAAGTGTAATTAATATATTTCTGAAAATCTAATAAGCAACATAGGAGTCACATCTATGTTGAATTTCCAAATGCTAACACCATTCCTTTATTCATTCGACAATCATCCAGTAACTGTGCGCTCTGAACGGACCAGGCATATCTGCATCCTAACTCCTCTGACAGGGATACCATTTTTTAAGATAAACTTCCTTTTTAAGGACAGTTTTAGGTGCACAGCAAAAGTGAGCAGAAAGTACCGAGTTTCTCTACATCTCTACTCCCTCACGTGCACAGCCCGCTACCAACATCGAGCACGAGAGCAGAACATTTGTTACAACTGACGAACAAACAAAGACACATCATCATCACCCAAAGTCCGGTTTACATTAGGCTTCACTCTTGGCGCCATACATTCCATGGATTTTGACATATGTGTAATTGTGTGTACCTACATTTACAGCATCATACAGAATAGTTTCACTGCCCTAAAAGTCCTCTGTGCTCCACCTACCCGTCCTCCATGCAACCTCTCATCTTTTTACTGTCTCCATAGTTTTCTCTTTTCTCAAATGTCATATAGTTGGAATCATACAATATGTAGCTTTAGATTGGCTTATATCACTTAACATTATGCATTTAAGGTTCTTCCATGGTTTTTTTTTTCATGGCTTGAAAATTCATTTCTTTGTGTCACGGAATAACATCCCACTGTCTAAATGTATTACAGTGCATTTATCCATTTAGCTATTGATGGATATCTTGGTTAGTTCCAGTGCTCTGTAATTGTGAATAAACATTTTGGGGAAGATTTTTGTGTGAACATAAATTTTCAACTCATTTAGGTAAATAACAAGTAGCATGATTGCTAGACTGTATGGTAAGAGTATGTGTAGTTTTATAAGGGGCCAAACTGTCTTCGAAAGTGGCTGTACCACTTTGCACCAGCAATGAGTGAGAGTTCCTGTTGCCCCACATCCTCGCCTGCACTTGGTATTGTCGGTGTTCTGGATTTAGCCATGCTAACAGATGTGCAGTGGTATCTCTCTTTCATTTGCACTTCCCTCACGGCACATGATGTGGACCATCATACGCTTAGCTGCCACCAGTGTATCTTCCATTGTGAGTGTCTGTTTAGGTCATTTCCCTAATTTTTTTTATTTCCCCATTAGTTTTCTTACTGTTAACTTTTAAGAGTTCCTTGTATAGTTTGGTTACCAGTCTTTCTTCATGTTGTCTTTTGAAAATATTTTCCCCCAGTCTGTGGACTTGTGTTCTTATTCTCTTGACAGTATCTTTTGCAGAGCAGAAGTTTTTAGTTTTAATGAAATCTAGCTTATCAATTATTTATTTCATTTGTCAGGCCTTTGGCATTATATCTAAAAAGTCATTACCATATGTCATCTAGAATTTCTCCTATGTTCTCATCTAGTTCTAGAGTTTTATATTTAAGTCTGTGATCCATTTTGAGTTAATTCTTATAAAAGGTGTAAGGTCTTTATTAAGACCTATCATTTCTTTTTACTTGCATATTCTATCAATTTATCACTCAAATGAGAAGAGAAGCTGAACCTTCAGTGAGAAAACTTACTCGGAGCAAGAATGACCATTATGTTTTCCTAGCACTTTATGTGGTGCTCTCATATCCACTTTCCAGACCCTCTGCTGTGATCCTCAAGACCATACACTCAATGAGAGTGAGAACCACGTCTGTCTGTTCAGTGCCACAGCCCAGCCCTAAACCACTGCCTCCTGGCCCACACCTGTTCAATGAATGAGTGAACTCATGAGTTAAACAGGGAGCTACTGTTTTCACTTTCCAGATGACTAAACTGAGCATCAGAAACATGGTCTACTCAAATTTTATGACTAGTAAGTGGGAGAAATAGATCAAACAAAAACTTGGTCTCAAACTTCTAATTCCCTTCTCTTATCATATATTTTCCTGAACTTCCTTAACTAGAAATTAGTAACTTCCATGAATTATTTCAGGCCTCAAGACACTTGGTAATTTCCTGTTTACTTAATAAAATGGATGCAAATATTTTTTTGCTTAAATGGTTACTTTCAGACAGTGAATATTTCTTTTGAATTTAAACTAGTATGATTTTGTAAATTCTAACAGTGTAACTGTCTTAACAAGAGGAACTTTCTATGAAAATATGAGAGCAATAAAGAAATCAATAAAAACACCAGCCCACCACAGTTGAATAGCAAACTGCTTCTCCTAAAGTCACGGGTCTACAGTATGGCCCTCCGGAGTCTCTTTAAATTCTGCTGACACTTCTCACTCCCACAACATACAAAATGGTTCCAAAAAGGCAAAGAAATAAAGTCTTCATACAAATTATGTTTTTAAACACTATAGCTAGATGTGCTACCCAGAATTAATGTTTGTTTGCTGCTCTATAAACTTCTTCTGAGCACTAGACCTGTGTATCTAAATCTCCTGTGCTGATGTCCACGTCCAATCCCGTACAAGTTCTAATACAAACTAATTTTCACATTAACTCAAACCTGCATTCCCATGTTGAATGGGAATCATCCCGTTCGGATAAATGATTGTGCAGATAAACAATCATCCAAAATGAAGCCACCTGTGACTATGCCCTCTCTCTGCAGCTCATGTGTGTTAGGAATCTGCAAAAGAAACCATTCGCATGCCACGTTTTCATACTGACTGGGCCTGCAAACACCTTTTAACGTATTTCAGGACTACTGTCTTATGAAGCCTACTGGGGAAATGCCCACCCGTTCAACCGGATGGTCTGGAAACAAACACCATGCTCCAAATGCTTTACATTCAAGTCTGTCAGTAGTTTATTTTGAATGTCAGACAGAGTCAAAACGTAACCAAGGAATTTTTGTTTTTCTAGTTGACCACTTAGAGTTAAAAAAATTATTCCAGTGCAACTCCAAAAAAAAAAAAAAACACTATTCCTTTCCCTTCAGCTATGGGAAATTAGAAATCTAATTAACAGGGACAGCTTATGTCACCAAGAATGTGGGAGTCCACAACAGTCCCTTGCAAAAGTTACATCAGCATTCTCAAAGCAGGGCAACTACGATTAAGAACCACACTGAGACACTACATACACCTAAGCTGAAAAGGATACATAGTAAGTGCTCTCTACCTTCAGTGCTCAACCCTATTTGAAAAGATATATATGTAATTGATACTATATTCCCACTGGAAGTTCTTGAGTTACTGAAAGAACAACAGAAATTAAACACTTCCATATTTAATCTTTTGCCAGCTGCTGAAAGGTGACAAATGAGTAAAGAAGAGAATACTGAAGGAACTATATTTACTGATGAACAAGAATAAAGTGTTGCACCCTGGCTGGTGTGGCTCAATGGACTGAGTGCTGGCCTGCAAACCAAAGGGTCACCGATCCAATTCTCAGCCCGGGCACATGCCTGGGTTGCGGGCCAGGTCCCCAGTGTGGGACACGCCAGGGAAACCACACATTGATGTTTCTCTCCCTTTCCTCCTCCCTCTCTTCTCCTCGCTGAAAATAAATAAAAAATGTAAAAAAAAAAATAAAGTGTTATATTACAGTATTCATTTTTGCAACCAGTAACTTATTTAAACAGCTTGATTTTAATCAGTTTCAATGGCATGTCCATTAATAGCTAAACTAAAATAATTTTGAATTGAATTGAAGGCCACATTGAGGTAAGTGTAATTCATTCCTTCCTTATTGACAAAGAATCCTCTTATGGATTTATCAGGCCCATTTTGACCTTGTATACAAGTATGGCAGGTTGAAAAGTATGCCTCCACACTACCAGTGTAAAAGTATAAAAAAATTATGCATGGAATTTCAGTTGTATTTAAAAGCAAAGATTCAGTAGAAACCAGTATGTCTGTGATGAGTCCTTACTGTGGAACAAGAAATCATGTACAACAAGGTCCTTCAAAAATTTTAATACACACATCTAGCACCTAGATCTTGGGTGTGTCAAGATTTTGCCTTTTCATCCTCCATTATAAGGAAGTAGGTGTCTTGGAAAAATGACTGGTTCTAAAGCTCAGGGTGAAAAGGTACAAGATGAGCTTAGAACATCTTGCTGTGCTTGTCTATGAAAAGTAAAGAAGTACTCAGACACTGGTGGGGGCAGGTCAAAGGGACAGAGGAGCCACCCTGAAAGAGCTCTGGCTGACCAAATCTGGGAAAATGCCAACATCAAAATGAATAATAAAGACAACAGTTATAGCCAGACAATAAAATAAGAATCCATGAGTTTATACTGATAGGAATAAACGAATGAATAAATAGGGAAAGAAATGAAAACACTTGCGGCAGAATTTCAACTATTAAATGTAGAAGAAATTATAGAATAACAAAAAAATCACCATTCTGTATTGCTACAATAAGCATTTTGGGTAAAAATCA